GGGAAGATCCCACATGCTGCGGAGCGGCTGGGCCCGTGAGCCATGGCCGCTGAGCCTGCACGTCCGGAGGCTGTGCTCCGCAATGGGAGAGGCCTCAACAGTGAGAGGCCCACGTACCGCAAAAAAAAAAAAAAGATACCAAGCATGTAAAAATATTTTTTAGTTAGTATTATTTAAAATGTTTTAACTTTTAACAGGTATCCACCTGTCGACTAAGAAAGGATCAACAAATAGAAGATGATGAAGAGGATGAAGACTTAGATGTTACAGAAGAAGAAAATTAAATTTCTTAAGTAAACTTTGCATTTCCATTTTCATCTTAAATGACTTGGAATCCAGAATGACTAAAACTGTAAAACTTTATACTGGCTTGAAATGAAATGAAATCCTATTGGAAATGGAGAAATTATTAAAGGAAATTTATGCTGACCAAAAATGAAGTTTTAAAAAATATTACACACCAGTCATTTCAACATTCTGTCTAGCAGCATGTGATCTTTTTGTATAAGTTCCATTTTTTAAAAAAGATTATGTATTTCAGAAGTATTTCATATTAATGCATTATACCTAGTTGAGGTTACACTAGTTAAATAGATAACAACAACAACAAAAAATCTTAACAATTCCACTTGCTTCCTTTAGGTTAAGACACCATGCTTTCAGTACCAGAAAAGGGTCCTAGTCATTCTGATGAAATAAAAATTCTGTTCCATAAAGCTTTAATCAAAAAGCCAAGTTTTCTTTTTTTACTTTTTTTTCACTTCTACTACAACCTGAAGTTTCATCATTCAATATATAAATTTACTTTTCAATGAGAGTATTATAGTCACTCTTAACAATAATAGGACACTAGGATATTGGTGTTTTACAACTATACATAAAGCATAAATTTTAGCTTTAGAAAGCTACATTCAGCTTGATTCTGGTTTTAAAACGAAGCCACTGTCATACTAAAGTGCTATATATGGCACTACATCTTTTGCAAAGCTATGATTTGGTGGAATGTTGCCCTGAAAAACATCATGGAAAATCATAAATCAGTAAAAATTCTATAAAACTTTTACCAAATTACCATCTAATCAATAGAGTGTACAGTCACTCTTGTTCCTGAAAATATAAAACAATTTAATCAGAGCCTTTCAGTATGTCTGATGCTTTTATTCTTTGGATGGGGAATTGTACTTCTGTTATTTCATAGATCCCAGTCAGGCATATAAAAATTAGGAAATGATCATTTGGGATTACCACAAAAAGATAACAGAAAAATAAAACTTTCCAGAAAGCTTTTTTGACTTTGTTATTCATGGTTCTGTTCTTAACAAAGCACTGCTTCATGAAAATAGCCCTAAGTGATAAATTTACTTAGTTTTTAAGTAAAATATTCAAAACATTTTAAAATCCTAAATAATTTGATATTCTTAAAAAACTGAGGATATCATTGCATTTTTATTTTCTCAGTATTTAATCTTGGTATTTGTAGCTGGGAGGAAAAAAAAACAGTTCTAGTATTGCTCTTGCTGCTTATGATAGCAATTCACTTCTCTTTATAAAGTTAATATAGTGCCTGATATATAAAGCAATCAGCAAATAATTCTGATATAAGATGTATGCTTTGGCTACTTCAAAAAAAATATTCTAAGGAGAAAAGGAATATACAAAATACTTTCGATGTAAAATTAAATTTTAGACCAGACGTAGGTTGGTAAACTCCTTAAAGGGTTACACAGTAAGTATTTTTACAATTTGTGAGCTGAGAGACAAGGCTATTACATAGGTACTTATGTAACCCTATTTAAAAATGTAAAAGCCTCTTTTAGCTTCCTTATAAAAAGACAGGCTATAGGCTTCCATTTCTTATCTCCAAAATAGGTTTATTAGGGTTATTAGAACTAAATGATATAGTTAATTCACATGTAATTAAAGATCATAAATACACAATATCTATTACAGCTCAGTAAACATTAGCTTACATTTAATACAAAGATGGAGGTGACAGGGTCACTGCTTAATAGGTGATATATGGACCAAGAGCCAGTGCTCTTGACAGTGTTTTCAGTAAGTGGTAAGTGTGTGCTCCTAACACAATGATTCTTACCTATCTCTTGGGATTAAGTTTACTTTCTAGGCATGATCTATATTTTTCAGAATACCTCGAGTCAAAAATGTTTGGCTTTAAGATAATTAAAATGCCACTGGGTATTAAACTAGAGAACCAATATGCCACTATACCTGATACATCTAGGAGAGGAAACAAAACTGGCTATGAGATAATTATTGAAGCTGGGTGATGGGTGTATGAGGATTTAGTACACTATTCTCTTACCTGTTTGAAATTGGTGATGTGCTGGTAGTTGACTCTCGGGGGTGGAAAATGCCCTGATTTTCTGCATTTACCAATTTCCATGGTGTGAATACTCCTACCACGGCCAATTTAAGTTATCAACATGTCACTGAAGGCAGAGTTGGGAACAGATATGCAAAAATGGCTCCCAAGCAGTAGAAGCCAGCTTTCTGTAATAAACTTTTTAAAGTTAAAAAATATATTAAACCGAAGATTACGGAGTAAATTAACTATTCATATCAATCCATTAATTTTACAATCGAAATACAAAGCCTTTGTTTACTATTGTGATAGCCTCTTATCTACCACCACCATCCCAGCCTAGACTGAGAAGCAGTTCAATATTAAGTGATACTGCACTTTAAGATTCATCTTAGCTTTTATTGATATATATTTAAGAAGCATTTTTAAGTCTTCCCACATACTCCTCAAATAAATTATCTAAATAATCTCTGATCAGTTAAAAAATATTTCTTCCTATTGTCATTTTCCTAGCTGCTTGTAAGCTTACTAGTTGCAAGAGCCATACTGATGTGCTTTGTTGAACCAAATTTACCAATTTATTCATTCCACTAGCAAGAACGATACTCAACATAATTAAAAACACAGAGGGCTTCCCTGGTGGCGCAGTGGTTGGGAGTCCCCCTGCCAATACAGGGGACACGGGTTCGTGCCCCGGTCTGGGAGGATCCCACATGCCGCGGAGCGGCTGGGCCCGTGAGCCATGGCCGCTGAGCCTAAGCATCCGGAGCCTGTGCTCCACAACAGAAGAGGCCACAACAGTGAGAGGCCCGCGTACCGCAAAAAAAAAAAAAAAAAACGCAGAAACTTCGGTTGGTTTTTCTAAGATTAATCCAAAAATACTTACAGCACTAACTGGCTAAATACTGACAAAGTATTCTACTTCTGCCATACCCTATTATTAAATGACTAAACTACTGATATAAATTCAAACTTTATTCTTATTTGCTCACTGTGGGAAATATCTAAATCACAGAATTGAGGAAAATTAACCTTGTTTTATGTAAACTATAAAAGGCCAACCAAAGTCAAATCATGTTTCATAAGATGAACAATTTTAAATTAGAAGCCAATATATAATGTTTGTCTCCCAGAGAAACCCTGGAAGTTTTAGTTACTTTGTCTTTTATTAACAATGTTTGGGCATACTAATTTTATCTTTTCTTAATGCTATTTTTAAAGGAAAAATGGAAGTAAGAAAATATCCTTTACTCTTGAAAATATTTTTAGCATGGTCTTACTAAAATTAAAAACAGCATTTAACAAAGTTAGCAGGCAAAAGTATTAAGAGCATGAACTGGAGTGTGTAGTCTGTCTGGGTTGAAACTGGCTCCATGATTTACTAGCTATGACTTTAGGCAAGTAACTTAAACTCTCTGAATTTCATTCTGAATTTCATTATCTCATTTGTGAAATAGAGCTAAATACTCTTAAGCTTCTTAGGGAATAATTAAGATTGACATTATGAATGTAAAGTACTTATACTGCCTAGCACATAGTAAGTGCCCAATGTAAGCATTAACATTATGATTGTATAGAAAATCAAATCCAGTATTTGCAAAATGTCTACACTAAATGTCAAATATCAAAGAAGTCAAAATTCAATCTTACAAAAGTCTTGTTATATTTAGTCATTAAGTCTTTGGATAAAAAGTTTTGAAATTAAGAAATGAGAACCTAATTTGAAAAATACAAGTTATATCAATCATCAGTAAATTCTTCCTAGAAACACAAACTACGTCCATTTATCAGATTCTTACCAGCGTAAGCCTGAAAGTCCTCTTGTACCTATAATTACTTTTTTATTTTTTTGTCTTTAAGTATTTTGAGTAAATCTTATCAGTTTGGTTGATGAGATGTTGGAAGAAACCAGAGAACTATACACAGCACTAATACACTATTATTACAGAATGTTTGGTTTCTCCTGTCATAAATATTACCTTATACAGCTGTTGGAAACCTTCACAAAAGAAGCTATAATTCTTTTTTCTCTTTATACAAATACAATTAGTTGGTTTATTCAGTTGCAATTTTTTTATTTTTATAAAATTTTGAAAGTTATGATCATCGAAGTTTTAAGAATTTCCTAAGCTTTTTACATAAGTAAACTTCAAGTTCACAGTCTGTCAATTTTGAACTATTTATGATTAAGGGGAGGCTTAACATAGTAATATCTCAGACAAGGAAGAGGGCATTAATTCTGCAGGCAGTTAGCAATGAAAATGCTAACCCTGAACAATCAGTCACTGACCATTTCCTTATACAGTTTGAGTAAAAAGATGTAGACTACAGAATGGAAACAAAAGTGAATATAAAACTTATCTTCCCCAAATACAGTTCTACTATACAAGTCTTGACGTTTACCCATGACATCAACAAAAATTAATGCACTCAGGGAATTAGTTCTCTCCCCCACTGGTCAAAAAAAAAAAAAAGCATATATATTTTTAAGTTAGAAAAAGTGAACGGCAATTTGCAAGCAAAAGAAAACCAGATTCACATTCTACTATTTACATTTGTTCTATTCACAGGTCAAAATTAAAATGTTTCTTTTCATTAGTTAAAAGTAAACACTTAAAAAAATGCATTTTACTGCATCAATACTGTGGGGAGGTAATTCTGAATTTAGAAATGCTCTCTAGAGCAAAATTAACTTAACTTTGCGGGGGCCAACTGGCCTATCATTCAGATCTTTAATAGCAGCCATAGCTTCATTGTAGTTTATCATGGCAACAATGGCTTCCCCTGTAGGTAATCCTTGCTCGTTATACTGTATTGAAACTGAATCAGGTATGATTCTGTAACCATGGAAAAAGTCTAGAATTTCATTAACATTAGCTTTAAATGGAAGATTCATTATCTTAATGGGTGTTACTCTACCTGAATTACAATTTAATTTTGGATCAGGCATAAATCTCCCCTCAGGAAAACTTCCCATATTACGCTTTCCAAAATCAAACTTGCCACCTTCTGGGCGACCAAAATTCACAAAAGGGCGATGACTTCTAAAATCATCAGGGGGGCTCCTAAACTCCTCACCAGGAAGTCTAAAACTGTCAGTAAGTCTAGGGTCCTCCTCTGGAGCTTCCCTGAGGTCTTCCTCCGGGAGCCGCCTGAAGTCCTCATCAGAAGGGCTTCTAAAATCTTCCTCCTGGGGACTCCTGAAGTCCTCATCAGGAGGGTGCCTAAAGTCTTCATCTGGAGGACCCCTGAAATCTTCATCCAGTGAGTGCCTAAAATCTTCCTCTCGGGGGCGCCTGAAATGCTCCTGGGATGGCCGCCTGAAATGTTCCTGAGGCGGCCGTCTGAAATGCTCCTGGGGCGGCCGTCTGAAATGCTCTGGGGGCGGCCGCCGGAAATGCTCCTGAGGTGGCCGCCGGAAGTGCTCCGGGGGCGGCCTCCGGAAATGCTCTGGGGGTGGCCGCCGGAAGTGTTCCGCAGGTGGCCGCCTGAAGTCCTTCTCAGGAGAACGCCGGAAATCCTCCTCAGGAGACCGCCTGAAGTCCTCCTCGTGGGGCCGCCTGAAGTCCTCCTCAGGAGGTCGCCGGAAGTCTTCCTCTGGAAGTCGCCTGAAATCCTCCTCAGGGGGCCGCCTGAAGTCTTCCTCAGGTGGCCGCCTCCATTCCCCGAGGGGAAGCCGTCTGAAGTCCTCCTCAGGAGGCCGTCTCCAATCCTCCTCAGGTGGCCTCCTGAAGTCTCCCTGGGGGGGCCGCCTCCAGTCCTCCTCAGGGGGTCTCCTGAAGTCTTCCTTGGGAGGCCGCCTGAAATCCTCCTCAGGTGGCCGCCTCCAGTCCTCCTCCCGAGAGTGCCTGAAATCCTCCTCCGGAGAGTGTCTGAAGTCCTCTTCCCAAGAGCGCCTGAAGTCCTCCTCAGGAGGCCGCCTGAAGTGTTCCTCCCGAAGGCGCCTGAAGTCTTCAGGGGAGTGCCTGAAATCCTCTGGGGAATGCCTAAAGTCTTCTGGAGGGCGCCTTTCAGGAGGTCGGAAATCCCCCTGGGGATGCTTGAAATTGTCCAGTTGCCTCAAGTCCTCCTGCTGATGCCTAAAGTTTTCAGAAGGGCCAACCGAGTATAATGGTAGATCATTTGAGTCAAATGAATGGGAATGATCATCTCTGTCACATGACTGTGAATGGTCATGCATTCTCTCACTGGACATTGAAGAAAAATTTACACCAAACTCCCGCATTTGTACCTCAGATATGAGCCTTAACAATACCTCTGTCCCCAAGAATCTTCGTCGGTTTAAACGTTCAGCTTTCATGGCCTGTTCTTCTGATCTGAATTTCACCAATGCTTCTCCTAGACCAACTCCTTTGTCATCATAAAGCAAGTAAATGTCATCCTCAGCAAGAGAAAAGTCTGCAAAGAACTTCTGCACTTCAACTTTTGTAACATCAAATGGAAAATTTCTTATATATATGCACAGTTTCTGGCCTGAATAGCCTTCTTGAGAGTATTTTTGTGAAACGTGTCCAAGCCTCTCTTTCTCTGTTGACGCTGGTCTTTTCTTTTCATAACAGTCAATGAACTTCAGCATCTGTTTTCTAGAAACTGGATCAATATGAACTGGACGATACTGTAAAACAGTCTTATGTAAACCCAGAGCAGTGTTATAGTCTTTCAGAGTCTTGAACATCACAAAGGCATATCTTGTTCTTCTTTCATCCTTATATAAAAACCTAATCTGTTCATTAGTCAGATCAGTATCTCTAAAGAAATTTCTTAAATCTCTTTTGTTAATACTTAGGGACAGATTTTTTAAGTGAACATAAAATCCAAGAGGAGAACGAGAACGTGTTCTTCTGGGAGATTTTGAATGAGATCGTTTCCAAAAATGTCTATCATTAATTCCTCTTGGTGGAGAATGTTCTTCAGTCCTCATAGAAATGTCACCCTCCTTAACTGCATTACCTCCAAACTCAATCCACTGTTGTTCCGAGCCTTGCATTACTTCAATAAATCTTGAACCCATAAAACTTCTATGACATTTAAGACCTCCTGAAGCATCGATACATGAAGCAAATTTTACTATGGCATCACCATTATTTCGGCCATCATGATGTTTTAAGAAAATTACTCCATCCACACACAAACCAGAGAAAAAGACACGTACATCATCTTCGTTAACTAAGTAAGGCAAGCCTCGTAGAAACAAGTAAGGATTCTCTGCCTTCAATGGCCGTGTCTTTCTTGGCCTTAAATCACCTTGTCCTGTACCATTAGTATGAAACCCAGCATCTTGATTAATCGGAGAGCCATATCCAGAATTACTTGCTTCTTCTTTAACAGCCTCAACAAAATTAGATAAGCTGCCAACCCCTGGTGCCCCAGATCCTGGTCTCTCTCTTCCCATGCGATCAGTTCTTTTCATTTCTATAGTCTTCTGCATTTCTGCCTTACTACTAAGAAAAAGCTCTACAGATGAATCCTTGATAAACCCTCCTGAACGACTTATGGCACGTCTTGCATCTTCATCTGTTGCAAAGATAATAAAAGCCTCCCCAACTTCCCCTCCAATTATATGCACTCCTCCATCAGGAATAGTCAATCCCGTGAAGAAGTGACGAATATCCACAGGCCCCGCAATAAAAGGAAGCCCCAGTAAACGGATGACTACAGCCATGCTGAGCTCAAACCACAGCAATAATGACCTGCAGACAGAAAGGTACACATAATAGCAAGTCTTATTTTTGAAGTACCTAATCCCAAACTAAGCTTAATAGTTACTTGGTTCCTACCTTCTTCAGCATTTATAAATGAAAATAAGACATGAGTTCACAAAGATATTGACTGTATCTAATTCTTAGAAAGAAAAAAAGGAATAAACTTTCTCCCAACTAAACATACAAATAAATAAACCAGCTACTTTGAAGAAACATTTCCTGTCACCTATCCTATACAGTATGAGCATCAAAAATATCACATCTTCTTTGTAAGTCTGCCAAGTGCTACTTCACAACAAGACCAAACTATTTTCAGACATATCTTCTACTGAAACATGGGAGAGAGAGCTTTGGTGATTAAAGAATTTTACCAACCACAACGAATTTTACATACTTAGAAAAGGCATCTATGGTCAGTATATAATTGCTGCTCATGATAATAAACTGCTTACCACTAGTGCATCACTGACCAGACATAAAGTACAGAAGCCATATGTACCTAGATGTACTATTCTACTTTGCATTTTTTTTTGTCAAGCTTCTGTGAAACGCCTTAAGCTCTGGATATCTTACCTTTTTTAATTTCTTGGAGACCTGTTAATTCTGTAAAAGCAACTTAACTGTGGAAAGAAAATGAAATATAATTAATCCTTGGACCCTGCAATTGATCTTAAACAACGCCAGATTAGGATATTCACTTCAGAATTACCTATTAAAAGTGAAGCAATATAAGAAGCACAACTAAGGACATTACAAAATGGTTATCTTTGTTCCAAGGGGAAATTAATCATCCTTCAGCAAAAAGAAGGTACAGATTCCAAGTAGACATCGGCAAATTATTTAGAAACAAAAAACCTGAAAATTTAACAATCGGTCCTTGATTGGAAGTGACATGAGGAAAAAGGTGATGGACATGTTATATATTTTGATTGGAGTGTTGGTTATATGGTTGTATAAATTTATCAAGTCTAAACGAATTCTATCCTTAAGGTCTGTGCATTTCACTGTATATGAATTTTATATCCACTTAAAAAAAAATTGTTCTACAAGTAAAATGACAATTTAACACCCAAAATTCCCAAAACACCTTTTATTCATTTCCACCCATGAAAAGACCAACATCTAATTCATTATGTCCAACTCTCCTGCAAATCTCCTCCCGTTCAAAACATAAGACCAAATCAAATTAATAAATGGTACAATGAACACTAATGTTTCAAATTCAAAGACCAATTTTTAAAGCAATAAATCTAAGACCAATGGCTACCATTTGGACACAATTTTACGTTCTACATATACACCTCACATTCTAAACATGGAACCAAATTTCCTGATTCCACTATAAATAAGACAAATAATAAAATATCCCTAAAATCTAAAATCTCAATTACTACTACTCTTATACTCAACCATTGCTACTCCTTATCTTAAACTCCTAAAAAACTATTAAAACTCATCTTAAGCCAGAAAGAAAATATTCAGATAAACACAGAATCTTATTATGCTAATGTTTATTCCATTTCAAACAACTATCCTGCATTCTACCGAGGAAACCCAAATGAAAATATAGAAAGGTAAAAATATAGTAAGAATATATTAGTTTGGGGCTTCCCTGGTGGCGCAGTGGTTGGGAGTCCGCCTGCCGATGCAGGGGACATGGGTTCGTGCCCCGGTCCGGGAGGATCCCACATGCCACGGAGCACTGGGCCCGTGAGCCATGGCCACTGAGCCTGTGCGTCCGGAGCCTGTGCTCCGCAACGGAGGAGGCCACAAGAGTGAGAGGCCCCCGTACCGCAAAAAAAAAAAAAAGAATACACTAGTTTGGAATGTTTGGGGATATCAGTATTAACAACTGAAAAATCTCAATTTAATATTCCTTAAGGAAATTACATCTAATACTTTCAGATGTACCCAAACAAAGTAGTCTTAACCAAGTAAGTTTTTAAGACCGGCTAAATTAATGATTATAAGTTTATGTTTTTAGTGTGCAAATAAAGGTTGTTTTAATTCAGTACTTACACCTAAGTACCACTCATCCACAAAAGTGGTGTCTGAAAACATGTTCTTTGAGGTCTGCAAGGCTTATTTTCCTTTGAAAAATGTCCATAGATTACTTTTTAAACTACAAGCTAAACTAACAAGGATAGCAAGAAATTAACTGGCACATTTTACACATCTGAATTATCAATGCCAAACTGATATTAAAAATATTAATGAGTTTTACTATAAAATATTTGCATGGTATGTGGGGGGAGGGGCAGAGGACATATGGGAAATCTTTCTACCTTCCACTAAATATTACTGTGAAACTAAAAAACCGTTCTAAAAAATAGTCTATTAGAAAATATCTGCACTGTCTCCCCAACCCCACCCCCACCCACCCCCACCCCCTGCCAAAAAATGTGTGTAAACTTAGTTTCTTCAACAAACCAACATCCACACCAACATTTTAACAAAAACTACAAATGGCTTCTGGAATAGCTGTCCACATTTGGAATAGTTGTCCACTGTTCCAAGACTCCTTCCTATGCAAAATGACTTAGCTCCTTTTTTGCTTTTAAAATATTTTAGAAAGCAGTGTAATAAACATCATTTTGTCCCTCCTAAACTTTCTTAAAAATTCAAAAAGGAACAGAAATATATCTACAGAAAAAACTGAGAACATTTCACGGAATAATTAATGCCAAATACAAAAAATGTCTTATAGGGGCTTCCCTGGTGGTGCAGTGGTTGAGAGTCTGCCTGCCGATGCAGGGGACGCGGGTTCGTGCCCCGGTCCGGGAGGATCCCACATGCCTCAGAGCGGCTAGGCCCGTGAGCCATGGCCGCTGAGCCTGCGCGCCCGGAACCTGTGCTCTGCAACAGGAGAGGCCACAACAATGAGAGGCCCACGTACCACACACACACACAAAAAAAGTCTTATAATTTATCCTCCCTAATTTGTAAACAATATTCTAAGTAGTTCCATGAGTACAAATTCGTGAATTGCAATTCAAGTAGAATATATAAAATGTTTCTTCTAATTTGCCACAAATATAACTACTGCTTAAACTTGTCTGCCCTTGAGATAGAAAGGTAATGTACCATTTATCCCTCTAAAAAACACACCTAGGAGACCACCTATAAGAAACCAGCTCTGAAAATGAGCATCTTTCCTGTGGTTCCCATGTTATTTCCTTAAGCAAATTCCCCAGAAATTCTATTCTTAGAACATTACACAAAAAAGTAAGACACAAAAATACCCTAAAATACTCTACACTTAAAATTTTTCTACTTACGAATGCAACAAAAGTATTTTTGTGGCTGTGTTGGTTTAAAGACAGTGATCTGTTAGAACTTCTAACCTATGAAAAGAAGGAAGTGGGTCCTTAAGAGCTCATTTAAGGGCAAGTCGCTGAAATTAACAAGCTCATTTTAAATAATTTTGCTAATTTTATCCAACGATTCATCCCACTTAATCATCATTATCACACACACACAAAAAAAACCCACGAAATGTGCATCTTCTCATCAAGACTGAAAGGGAAAAGGGAGGAAGGCTAAATTTAAATGGTATTATTTCAGATCCATTTATTTTAACTAGAGAATAGCAAGTCATTTTCCAGACATGGTGAGGGGGAGAACACTGCCACTATTTCTTAAAACCTAAAGTTAGGATGAAGCACACTTGAAGCACAAACCCAAGAGTTTCCCCTGCAGAAAATAATCTACCCCAGTCCACAATGATTCTTTATGACGATCTGCCTTTTATCCTTTTATAATGTAGATGGTTAAAATAAAAAACTAAAGGCATGACGACACAGAGCCAAGTCCCCAGTAGGAACCGTAAATGAAGATGAATCCACACGGCACAGGAATTCCCATAACATCCATCATCCTCAAACGGATCATCCGAAGGCATTGCTTCTATAGCCCAAAGCCTTTGTCCATACTCCCAGGGGTCAGAGCTTCCTTCTTTCGCACCAGGCCAAAGTTGCTACATGGGATCCGATGCTGTAGCCAGACCTTCAGCCAAAAATCAGCCTTCATATTAACCTGGACCGCCCAACCTCCGTGCCTTTCCGTTACACCGTCCCAAGGGCAAACATTCCGCCCTAACTCGTCAAAGCGTGAACTGTCCCCAAATCTAACTGAAACACTTTAGCTCCCCTCAAGCCTAACGAGCCAGGCCTTCAGCGCTTTTCTGCCACCGCTGACTACGATGACATAGCAAAGAAAAAAAATACCTATGCAATCCTTCGAGATCTTCACTCTCAAGCAGACTGGCAAGTGCACACACACCACCACATGGACGGGGGAGTCGGTATTTAGCAAGGAAAGAGGGTGCCCTAACGACAGAAGCTACGCTAGTTCCTTGCGCGGCCCCGCCTTTCCCTGTGCTTCCGTCCCGGCCGCCAACCCCTCCCAGCCCCCGGCGCCCCAGGGGTAACTGCTTCGCACTTGGCAATAAACACACACCGCTGCTGCCGAGTCGGAACCACAAGGCTGGGGTCGGGGTGCACTCCTCGTCGCAGCAGCCTCCCCAAAACAGGCAGACCCCTGAGTGAGCCTAGAAGAAGATGGCGCCCACTCTCCCCTCTGCTCCGGACAAACGGACGCACAGTTTGTCTGCCCATGCGCTCTCCAGGCGTAACCCACCACCCCAGCGCCCCGGCCACGTTTGCGCACGCGCCCAGACGCTCACCTACTTCCCGTCGTCCAGGGAAGGGAGGTGGCTCCCACAAGCGCGCTCGCTCGCCCTGGAGTTGCTGAGCTCCTGCGCATGCTCAGATTCCAACCAAGCCGGGAACCTGAACAAGGGACAGGAGAGAGCTTCTGAGACAAAGTTCGGGGTTAACCCGTTGCTGCGGTGAGAGGCTTCAGTAAATAACAGCCGAAATACACTGGACAAACGTTCGTGATTCCCAGGAGTTAAGAAAAGAGACGCAAAAGCGGAGAAAATTTTGCGATTTCTTCATCT